AGTACTGATGTGTCATGGTTTTGTTGACATGACCCGGCTTTCAAGAAGCAGCAACAAACAAAAAAGAACATGAAGAAATGTGTAGTAAGTATTCAACAGCCAATGCAGGCAACACCTTTGATAGCAATATGCTAACATTAGCACGTCGTTAAAACATTTAGTCAAAACATTGCCTGCACAGCATTTGTAACTGCAATCAATACTGCAATTGCACTGCTAAACGACTCATCAATCGGCCCAATTTGAATACTGAAAAAAGGAAGCAAAAAGGCCTGTTTACTGCTAACATCATACAAATTTGCATTAACTTTCCCTGTTAATATAGTAGAAATCAAGAAGACATTGTGCTTGCATGATTTCTAGCCTTAATTTACTTCCTTCTGTTCTACACATATTACTATCTGTACGTTTGAAAATGGCATTTAAGTACAGTAGCATGACGTTTCAAGGATAAAGCCTGTTCAAGACTCTTTTCCTCCACCCACCAAACTACGTCTCTAGCCACACATACGGCAGGAAAAAAAGCACATATGGCACAAATTAGATTCTGACAGCAAAGCATGGATGTTCATGGAACAGGTAAGAACAAAGATAATTATTGACTGTTGCTATCTGTTGACAAACAAAAAACAGAAACCCGAATTTGAGAAGTACATTCCTCAAATCAGAAAGCACTTGTAGGATCATGCTCACAGGGCCTCTTCCTACCTCTGCCCTCAGAAAACAGTGACAGCTCCACTTGACTCCACTGTGTGAACACTACTGGTTGTGCACACCTGGAATTGCCCCCTCTCCCTCTACTCTCCACACAGAAAGATCCCTTAGAATTGTTGGTTTAAGCTTATTTGAGCAAAAAGAAAACAGAAGTCAGCACACTACACTTCTTTTCTCATGGTACTAAGACAGAGTTGGGCATAATTTCAATTCAACAAGTATCTGAAAACTTAATGTCAATACCAGCAATCCCTTTTTCCCCCCCGCAAAGTAACTAAAATCTACATCTGCCTTTTTTTGTTCTTATGTACACCTGCTTGTAGGGGTGCAATGTGCATAAGTAATCATATAAAATGCATCAAACTGAATGACAGCTAAACTAATATTGTCATAAGTACTCCTGACACAGCAAACATCCAGCAGCACGTTCCTCATACTCCACTGACCTTCCCAGCAGTCTTTATTAAATTCACTATCTTAAAATATTAATATTGAGAAAGAAGCCTTGCAGTACTGTCTAAACATCTACAAAACATGCAGTGAATCAAGAAAGTTCACACAATAAATGCTCCTCTGAAGAGCACTAAGTGCATATATTCCTTCCGTTTCAAGGAAACGGCATAAAGACCTCACAGTGTTTGGTCAAATACACTCACAGACCATAGGCTTCCTTCCTCATGTGACCCCCAACCCCAGCAGCTGACACTTTATCAGCTCTGCAATGTCTGATATCTCTCCAAGTCAAACACGAGAGCTGAGTATTTCACCTGCATCGTCCTCATAAAAATCCCTCATAAAACACTGCCTCAAACACGTATCTCCGAATGCAATTTAAATCATGGCTAATAAAGCACAAATATTTACTGTAAGGTGTAATAGACTTTATGAGGAAAATAAAGAACTTCAGATCTCTTTGTCGTTACTGTTCACTTCTAGTGATAATGAAGATATCAAATTCTGGAAGTCTACCAAGCAGTTGCATTTTACTATGAACACGTATGATTTAAGTACTGCCAATAAATTCCAGGCATTTAGTTAGGCTGACGTTTATGATGTTACTTAAAGAATACTAAATGTCTTCACTTGAAATATATACATATTTTATAGGAAGTGAACTGAATATCAAAGGAAACACTTCATCAGTTGCATAAAAACAAATATCTTTTATCGTCTAGAAAAGTTACTGAAAGCTGTTACTGCGTTTTCTGCGTTTCTTATATTGTAGACAAACACAACACAAACAGAGAGCATTTCCTATCTAGAAGGGAAGGGAGCAGAGAAAGTAAACTATTGTACAATATTCCCCACATATCTTAACTGCTGTTACAATATTTTAACGTTTGTCCCATTGTCTGCACTTGATAATTTCAACCTTCTGACGCCTGTTCCAGCAGACTGGCATTTGAACCTTTCACGCACAGAACAATTACTGCTGTATTATTCTATTGCGTAAATGCAGAGAAAGAAACGCTCGCAAACTGCTGCACTGTTTCAGATTTGCCCCGTATTTCCTCCGACCTATTTCACATCACAAGCAGCGCATTATGGAACGCACGACAAAGCAAAGTTAGAACATTTCATTTGGCATTTATGAATTTCAGCCACCGCAGCAACAGATGGGGGGTTTTGTGGCAACAATCCCTTCACAGAAGCCGGGCACTTGCCATTCATTCCCAATGCCCCCACACTCCTCCAGCACGGGGTCAACTGTTCGCTCCAGCAGAGCTGGGCCACTTACACCCAGCTCCTGTTGCTCATGTGCCACCTACCAAATATAAATCAACTGCCCCACATGGGGGCTGCCCTGCAAAAAAGCAAAAAACAAACAAAAAAACCAAACAGGACTCATTGACAAGTTTTCCAGGAGGCAGAAACCAACAGAGTTCCATTCAAGAAAACTGAATGTTTCAGGCATCTTTCCAGACTCTACTGAACAGCTCTCTCTGAGGTTTAAAAAAAAAAAAAAAAAGAAGTTTCTTGAGTTCAAAGAGCTCAAACCTAATGGTAATTTATTTGGAGCGAGGGAGAGATGGTTGAAGAGGAGACCAGAGAAACAGACACGGTAATCTGCGAGGCAGAAGGACCCTGCCACTCAAACACTGTCCCAAACTGGTAAATAATATCCCTCCAAACCCGAGTTCTCCTTTAGCACTTGGCAGTCTTTTTATCGATAGAAAGATAGAAGAAGCAGGGGAGAGAGCAGCCAGCAAGGCTTTGTCTCATGACATTTGCCAGGAGCAGAGGAGGTGGGCTTTGGGAAAGAAACAAGGCTGTTGATAGCAAGAAGGGTTAGATTTCAGCGTTTAATCCGTATAAAAAGTGAGCGAAGCTTCCGTTCTGTCGCACGCATCGGTGCGACTTAGCTTCCGTGCAGCCCGCAAGGATTGCACCGATCCTGCGGAACAGAATTAAGGAGTCAACAGACGCTAAGGAGCGAGCGTTTCCCTCCGTCTGTAAGAGCGGCGTGACAGCAGGCACCCCGCACACACACCTACAGGAGCCGGGAGAGCGAGCGGCGAGCTCGCCGCCCTCAAACTTTCTCCCCGCGGTCCCGGAGCCACTTACCTGCTCTCTGGAGATGCAAGGCAACGAGGGTCTCCTGAACATCTTGCTGCTGCCGTAGTAGCTGCCCGAAGCTTCCCCCAGGGACACGCAGCTCGACCTCCGCCGGGGTCTGACCGCAGGCACTTTGTCCTCCACGCCAGGCAGCCGGGGCTGCGGCTGGTGCTGCCGGGGCGCCGCCCGGCCCCGAGCCGGGAAGATGCCGCGCTCGGCGCCGCGGAGAGCCAGCAGGCAGCCCGCCACCCCCACCGAGCCCGCCAGCAGCGGCCGGAGGGCCGGGGGCAGCGGCTGAAGGCCGGTCAGAGACACCAGCCACACCGCGCCGGAGAAGAGCAGGACGAGCAGGCTGCGGCGGAGCCCCGCGGAGCTCCGCAGCAGGGTGAGCGCCGCCACCGAGCCCAGCGCGGCCAGCAGCCTGCCCGCCGCCAGCCGCGGCTCGCCGGGGGCGAGGGTCTCCTCGACGCGCCCCTGTGCGGGCGGCAGCCACCGCAGCGCCACCAGGTCCCCCGAGTAGCAGCAGACGGGCAGCGCCAGCAGCCACCAGCGCGTCGCGCCGCGCTCCCCGCGGGCCAGGCGGCAGGTGAGGAAGAAGAAGGCGCAGGCGATGCTGAAGAGCGGGCTGAGGCAGCGGGAGAGGCTCAGCAAGGCGTGCAGCGCCCGAGGGCTCCGCCAGCCGCCACCGTCCTGCGGGCCGGCGCCGCCCCGGCTGGGGAAGGCCAGCAGCGAGAGGGCGACGGCGGCCAGGGCACCC